GAGGGGTTGCAAGTGATGATGAGTCCGTTGCGGGCGATGGCGAGATTGAGGTCGTTACGGCTAAGATCGATACAGGTGTGGTCGAACGGGAAGGGAAATCGACGGAGATGGGAGATTCTTTAGGGAGAGAGAGGAAGATGGGGTTCTGAATTTTTGAAATGGAGAGAGAGAGTACCATAGGTGGGCGGCTGGGAAGGGATTGGTAGAAAAAACTATTTTTTTTTATAGAAGGTAGAAAAAACTATTTATATTAGGGTTTCATGGTGTATTTACTAAATTGTTTTTTATTTAATTCTGATCGCATGATTGATTTTTAATCTAATGATTCTTACGCTAGTTAGCATGGTGCTAACCCCACCGATCCCTCTTCTACCCATTCAAATAGTGGAAAAAAGTTCTTCTACTGGCACAACTTATGCCAACTTCCAAACACTGAATTTACTCTGACCAACTGTGCTAATTTCGTCCCAGGGTTCAGTGACCTTGACCTGCCACTAGGGCTGTCAATTTGGTTTGGTTTGGTTAACCAAACCATTAAGTATGAAAAACCAAAAACCAAATCCCAAAAACCAAAACCATTAAGGCCCTTATTGGTTTTTGGTTGCCAAAAACCAATAAGGGCCTTAATGGTTTTGGTTTTGGTTTGGATAACCAAAAAACCAACATGTACTCATACACTCATATTTATTCCTATTTCCCTCCTTTTTATTGAATAAACGTCATAATAATGGTAAATGGCCATAACAAATTATTGGTTGGCATGCGTGTCAAAAGAAACAAAAAAAAAAATTGTTGATAAATAATTTTATTCTTATTGGTTTCTTTTGGTTTTTCGGTTTTAACCAAACCAGAACCATTAAGTTGCTTATTGGTTTAAAACCAAAAAACTGAAACCATTAGCTTTCCAATTGGTTTGGTTTCGGTTAAAACTAAAAAACCAAAACCAAATGGACAGCCCTACCTGCCGTGAACGGCTATTTGCCGCCAACCAAATTGCTATATGCCGCCAACAAAAAAAAAAAAAAAAAAAAAAATTCAAATTTTGAATTCAAATTTTGAATTCTCCCCTTCCTTCCCTTCCTATAAATTTGAATACCATAACATTACCTCATTCCAACAAAACACTTTTGTCGACGAGCCCAGTGCCTCCGTCGCCGGCACAGTTCCTCCGTCGCCGGCCAACTTCCCGTCGTCCTCAATCGTCGGAAACAAGTAAGTTTACTTTTTCCGACAATTTTTTCTGTTTTTCCGGCGATTTTTCCAGTTTTCCGGCGAAAAACACGGTGGGCCGAAAGAATTTGGCGGCCGGAACGTGGCCGGGCCGAAAAAAAATTTCGGCCGGCGCGACGCCCAGCCGAAAAATTCTTTCGGCCCGGCGACGTTCCGGCCGCAAATTTTTTTCGGCCGGTCGCCGAAAGCGCCGCCGAAAAGTTTTCCGGCGGCGCGTTCGGCGACCGGCCGAAAAAAATTTGCGGCCGGAACGTGGCCGGGCCGAAATATTTTTTCGGCTGAGCGTCGCGCCGGCCGAAAAAATGTTTCGGCCCGGCCACGTCCCGGCCGAAAAAATATTTCGGCCCGGCCACGTCCCGGCCGCAGAATCTTTTCGGCCCGGCGACGCGCCGGCCGCAATTTTTTTTCGGCCCGGCGGCGCGCCGGCCGCTATTTTTTTTCGGCCGGGCATGTTTTTTTAATTTAATTTAATTTAATATGTTAATTAATTAGTCAATAAAAGTTACTTAATTAGTTAATTTCGATTAACTACTTAATTAAATGTTTTTTTAATTACTTAGATTAGTTAATAGAAAATTAAATAATTAAGAATTGGTTTAACAATTAATGTTAATAGTACATTAGTTAATAGACTTGCAGTTAATTAGTGATTAATTAACAATTAATGTTAATAGTACATTAGTTAATAGAAATTTAATTAATTAGTGCGCATCTATGTATGATATTGATTAATTAGTGATTAATTAACAATTAATTAGTTAATCGAAATTTAATTAATTAGTGCGCATCTAAGTATGATATTGTGTAAATTTGTAGATAATTAGATATGGATGATGCGGGTGGGAGTGAGTTGGGTAGATTCAATGGTAGGGTTGTTGATGCATCAACACGAAGGAAGGTGCCTCAGAAGAATAAGGAGAAGAAGCGCACTCGAGATATTGGACATCAGTCAGAGGCTCCTACTTTAGTTGCTCGTTCGTCATCACGGGCGTCTGGTTCCCATGGGGGGAACCAGGGTGCTGCATCGAGAGTGGTCTCTGCTGAGTTTGATGAGGACGATAGAGATGAGGACGATAATGATGAGGATGTCGATGTCCCTCCACCTACGCATGGACATGGACGAGTGCAGGATCGTACGGCGACATCACGTCCTGCTATGTATAGGGACCGAGCTGGGCGATTCGTACCACCTGCTCGTCAGGAGACAGAGAGCTCGGGGACTGGACGGAGTAGGGGAGGACGTTCGAGTGGTCCTCCACCGTGGGAGCTTGTTGGTGAGTGTCCTGGTGGACCTACGGATCCTAGCCTCATTAGGAGCTTCCGTGGCCACGCTTCCTACGCACTTTGGACGGGGCTTGGAGATCGAGGGGTCATCAGTTGCTACACCCGTACAGGGGCGGTTGACTATCTTGGGAACTACGTGTTTAGTCATGTTGAGGCGGAGGATCTGGTTCAGCAGTCAGGTCTCCAGCACCTGATCTACTCTATGTTCCGCAGGATAGCGATTGACGAGGCTTTGATCTCAGCTTTTGTGGAGAGGTGGCAGCCAGACACGAACACTTTCCACTTGCCTTTTGGAGAGATGACGATCCTCCTCCACGATGTTCAGTACTTACTGCAGATTCCTGTTGAGGGACGACTGATGAGTAGGACTTCTGAGCAGCTTGACCATCCGGAGGTGGGTTTGTGTGCGCTTCTTGGGATGAACTCGGAGCAGTTGAGTGGTCGTTCGGAGGTCCCTGGATTTGGTAGTAAGGGTAAGTGGTACGACAAGGGTGGTTTTCTGGCGGACATGGCGTCCAGGTACTTGCAGGTGAACGGGACACATGTGACAGAGGCGCAGTCGTACTTGTTGTTGATGTTGGGGTCCACTTTGTTTGTGGACAAGAGTAGAGACAGGGTTCGGCCGGTGGTGAACCTATTTTTGGACGAGTTGGAGGAGATAGATCAGTACAGTTGGGCGTCCGGTACACTTGCTTGGTTGTACAGATGCCTTGGTCAGGCGTCTCGTGCTGGTGCTAGGGGGGTGGCTGGTTGTCTCACACTTCTGCAGTGTTGGATCTACGAGTACTTTCCGGGTTTCAGGCCATCTCACTTTGAGCCACCTGTCGTTGGACCTGATGAGGCTTGGGCTTCACGATGGATTGGGCAGCCGGCGACTGGTTCTGTGGCTGATCCCAGTGTGAGGTTGGCGTTCTACCGTCGAGCTATTGACAGCTTGACCCCTGCTGATGTGTTTTGGACACCTTTCGATCAGAGGCCTCATCTTGAGGTGCGTCGCTCTTTGTACACTGGAGTGATTCGGTTCGCTGATATAGGCGAGTTCTATGATCCAGCCCGTTGCCTCCGACAGTTTGGATACCGACAGATGATACCGCCTCCCCCTTCGCGTCCTCAGCGAGCAGACCGACCAGAGGCACCTGGTGGATATGTCATTCGGATTCCTGAGAGTTTTGATGCTGCATGGGATGCTCTGCTATCCCACATGGTTCATATAGACATGTACTCTCAGCCCTGGAGGACGTATCCATATGAGACTACGGCCGACTATCTTGACTGGTTCGTGACACACTCTCATTGTAGAGTCCTACGGGATGATGGAGATGCAGATCGACTAGTTGACTCCGCAGCGGTAAGATTTGACCACTAGACCGTTACTCTATTATAAATATACTTAGCGTGAAACTAACAATTGTTATTGTTTTTTTTTTTTGTGCAGCGTGCTCGAGACCTTTTGTACACGTTTGCACCTGCAGTTCGAGCAGCAGCAGGGACCGAGGATGAGTTTCTTGAGCATTCTCGACGAGCCTACAGGGCACTGCACGGAGTGCAGGATGTGTGGACTGAGTACTGGGCCTCCCAGGGACTCCCCCCTCCAGGGGATTTTTAGTTGTTTTGATGTTTAGATCGGATGTTTATGTTTAGACTGCATGTTTGCATATTTATGTATGTTTGGATCAGATGTTTATGTTTGACTACTTATGTTTGGATCGGATGTTTGACTACTTATGTTTGACTACTTATGTTTGGATCAGATGTTTATGTTTGACTACTTATGTTTGGATCGGATGTTTGCACACTCATGATTAAAACATCGAGGGTAGATAATGAAATCCATAATGATATCCATAAGTTCATGATGATAATGAAATCCATAATGAAATCCATAAGTTCATGATGACACTAGAGCCATTTAAAATACAACTAGAAAAACAACAACATATAAATAGAGCATCGCAACACTATGCATTGCTCCTACCCCTACCCCTTCCCCTAGCTCTTCGGGGGTCTCTCTGCCTGGCTCGCTGCCGACCACCAAGACTCGCATACAAATTTTGTCCACCCTCGAGAATAGCTTCCCATCCCGCCACGTTAGGACTTGCTATCCCATGCCAAAGTGGATGCAGAGGGGGTATGGGAAACTGATCCTGGTTGAAGTACAATCGAATGTAGTGGTTGTTCACATAGTGCAGTGATAAGAACATGGTTGGTGGCAAAGTACCTTGGTCCGCATCAATAGGCAATACCACATAGGCATCATCGTAGCGGTTGGGTAGTGGACGGTTTCCATTATTGACATCAAACATCTGGTATGTGAAGACCATGACTGCGATGTTGTAGATGGTGGCAAACACGAACAAGTCCTCAGAATCCATCCATCGCCCCATTGGTGCGGAACCCGCCTCGAGCCAATTGATGCGGTCAATGTGAGCTAGTGGACCACCATTATACAAGTTCTCGTACTTCCAGAAATGTTGTTGGATTTCATGGACAATCGCCGATCTCATGAGCAGATAGTGACTATCATCCCCATAAATACAATGAGAAAGTGCCCTAAAACCACAATGGCCGTCTGGACTAGGGTTGAAATCGCCTACCAGCAAAGGTCGAACAAACTCTGGAAAAAGCTCATCGATGTAAGGGTAAGAATATTGCCCTGGGGGGCTCTGTGATGAGTAATCTACAAAAAATATACCAAACAGTCAAAATTACTTGGACAAAATTTACAAACATAAACCAATTACTACTAGATGGACTACAATATTTAACCAATTACTCACCTGTATCATGCTCGTCGGATTCACCTCCACTCGATCGGGATCTACCTCCACTCGATCGGGATCTGCCTCCACTCGATCGGGATCTACCTCCACTCGATCGGGATCTACCTCCACTCGATCGCCCCCTGCCTCCACTCGAACCAGGCCCAGTACTCCTCGAACGAGACCGCTCATAATATGAACGAATGCGACTGGTGCTTGTTCGAGGCCGTCCTCTCGGATTCTCATTCACTTCCGGTTCCCTCACATTGTCCTCTGCTGGGTGAAGCCCATAGAATAGGGCATCTCTTGCTTGTCTCACTGCTTCAGGACCTCTTTCTTCCACCTCAACAGTAAGACGCCTAAAGTGTTCTCGTTGAAGCTCAATTTCATCATTGACTTGTTGTTGACGTGGGGGGTTTTTATAATCCAAAGTCCGCCAAAATACATGCAACTCTTGAGCATAGAATTGACGTCCTTCTTCCTTAGCTTGAACAACCTGGCAAGCACACTTGAGCCCATGTGTCATCTGAAAATGACACGCACAACGGTCCTTCAACTCCGCCGCCCCATCTAACATCAGTTTGATCGCCTCACAACTAACGACCCTCCTCAAAAACGTGCACGGAGGCTCAATTGCCCTACTCAGATTGCGGTTAAGTGACTTGTGCAGCTCATTCACCACTTCTAGAAACTGATGTTCCATGTAGTTGTGGTTCTTCGCAAAACAAGTGTCAATCGCTCCTCTACCAGACACAAGGAAACTCTTGAATGAAGAGTGAGATGACTCAACTCTATTCGAGCTCGTGTTACCAAGATGAAACACATGGTTCGTGTAGCACTTTGCCCACATTGTCTGACAAGGCAACCACTCACCTCGCACGTAGTCAACCATTTTTATGTTCTTCTGTGTCCAGACCCTCTCAAACTGATTAATCTTTTGAAGAAAACCCTCCTGAGTCCAACTCCATGCAGCTTTGTCGAAATATTTCTTCCATACCGCTTCTGCTACCTCTCTTCTTGAAATTCCACCCAGTAATTGCTCAAACTTTTGCTTCACACAGTTGTTGACGTGCCATAAACATAGTAGGTGGACAGTATGTGGGAGAGGGAAGACCAGGGGCATAGAAGCAAGCAGACCACCTTCTTTGTCTGTCACAATGACATTCGGAACCGTATCACCGAGCAACCCTTTAATACATCGCAGCACCCACTCATATGTTTCCTTAGTTTCCTGCTTAATAAGTGCACATGCAATGTTGAAATTCTTCTTGACTGGAGTAACCCCAATAATCTCAACCCATGGCCAGCCATACCTATTCGTCTTGTAGGTCGAGTCAATGATGATGACGTACGGCCATGCATGCAACATCTGAATGGACGTCGGGTGCGCAAAAAACAGATTAGTGAGCACATTATTAGAGTCCTTTTGCAAACAGATATGGTACCCACGTTGTTCAGCTCCATGAAGCGCAAACTGTATCGCATCCATTTCACCCATCTCATCCAATCTGTTCTTGTAATTTCTGTTGTACATCTGTTTGATATCATGACTCACACCCCCTTCAGTATTGAGTGTCGTCTTCTGCTGATTTGGTCTCACCCCCGCCTTCCTCATTAATCTTAACCTCTCTTTTTCAGCCTCACTAAACTGTTTGTTGTGTCGGTGATGTTCTGGATACAACACCTTTTCATGGTTGTGAAACCCTCTATTAGCTCCGGTTGCACGACTTGTCACTCCCACTAGGACCCATGTGTTTGGACGATCCTTTTGCCATACTTCCTTAATACATATCTGAAACTGGCAACCAGTACCCTTCGAACTAGTATTCCCACGCGTCTCCTTCGTAGGGTCTGGTTTATAAGATTTAACGATCCTACTGCTTCTGTCGCAATACATACAGAGGGCAGTAAGTCCAGAAGTATTCGGTTTCCATGCTCCTCTAACAATAAAGAACCCGTTCTCCTGAGCGATTGCTATTGCAGCTAACTCAGCTAACTCCACACTTGCATAATGGATCCCATTCTCAAATTCTGCTGTGTAATCATGATCGGCCGGTAACCACTCTGACATTTTTCCTACAATTACAATATAACACATCAATATTCTTGCGAACCTAAACGCTAATTTCAACTCTTAACCGCTAAATTCAACTCCTAAACGCTAAATTCAACTCCTAAACTCTAAATTCAACTCCTAAACTCTAAATTCAACTCCTAAAATCTAAATTCAACTCCTAAAATCGAATTTTTCCGACGATTTGCAACGAACAGGGTGGGCCGAAATTTTCCGGCGGCCGGAACCTGGCCGGGCCGAAAACTTCCGGCGGCCGGAACCTGGCCGGGCCGAAAATTTTCGGCGGCCGGAACCTGGCCGGGCCGAAGGAAAAAGGTGGCCGGAGCCTGGCCGGGCCGAAAATATTTTTCGGCTCGGCCAGGCTCCGGCCACCTTTTTCCGTCGGCCCGGCCAGGTTCCGGCCGCCGAAAATTTTCGGCCCGGCCAGGTTCCGGCCGCCGGAAAATTTCGGCCCACCCTCTGTTCGTTAAAAATCGTCGGAAAAATTGTTCGAAACTAAAAAAAAGTTGACGCACCTGCTTAGTGATGATTCATGGATGCGTGACCGCAGTTTACGTCGAGGATGGGCTTTCCCGATGGTTTTCCGGCGACTTTTCCGGCGAGCGTCGATTTTTTCTGATTCAATACGTTTTCTGAAACTTGAAAATGTTGTAGGTTGTGAAAAAACTTAACCAAAGATGTACATATATACTTTCTTCTTCTTTTTTTTTTTTTTTTTTTTTTTTTTTAGTTGGCGGCAAATAGCAATTTGTTTGGCGGCAAATAGCAAGCCCCCTACCTGCCACGACGGCCCACTTCGCCGGACGGAGCAAGTTGCGGGGGAGAAATATCATCCTCAATGTTTCTACCGTCGCGATCGCGAGAAAGCGAGTGATTTTGCCTTTTTGCCTTGCCTGAGAAGAAGGTGGTGGTGACGTTTGCAAATGGCAATCAAATCAACGGCCACCAGCGAGGAGCAGTTGGCCCGGCCCGTAGGTTGCGTGTAAACTCAATTCTAATTTCTTTCTACGAGGACGACGGCCGTGGGACACGGGACCAGCTGTTAGTTGGGAAGTAGCCAGCCAGTGCAATTGTTAGTTGGTTTTGCTGTTGGCCAGCTGGATGGGATCTTGAGATGTAAAAGATTCCACGGCACAGCTACTCAGCTAGATTGTGGATTCCGATTGGATTCATTGGTGGATATTCTCTGCTCCTTGTCCCACGCGCGCCCCATGTGAATCTGTTCCACAGCTTTCGTAGAGCTCTTTGTTTGGTCCTTTAGCTTTAGGGACTGAATTGGGAATCCATAATTTTAGTCCTTTGTTTGTACTTGACAAGTGGGTGGTGACGGACACGTTACGGTGTTTAAAGATGGGCTTGAATAATTGAAATACTATTGTATGATAAAGTTAATTGTATTATTATCTGACATCTAGGGTGCAAATTAATCGATCCGTGTTTGAGAGTCTTCTGTTGCGGGACTCGGAAAATTCTAATAAATTAGTTTGCCATCAAACTTACCTAACTGAAGATAATGTTTTCTGATCTTCTGTTATACGAATTTTATAAATATAAAATAGTGGAAGGACAAGATCAAAATAGATTGTATTCAATATTGATATGGTTTTTGGTCCTAACACTATCTTCATTCTTCAATAAGCATCCCAATCGTCGTTGAATAAATTGTTTATGATTAAACTTTTTTCATGGCGCTATTGTTTCAATTTGTATGGCTAGTAGTTGATCCTGGTGTAACTTTTGCATGATGAAGCAACTTCTCTTGATCTTCCCAAGAAGTATTTAAAAAAATGGTTACGGGTTTAACTAAAAACTATCAGAATTACTTTCTAATATAAGAGATAAAGTAAAATGATTAAAAAAGATTTCTAACATAAAATATGAATACAAATTCTAAAAAAGGACAATTTTGTATTTTCAAATAGGAGCTTCTGCTTTTAAGTTACAATTTTTTATAGCTTTTTAAAAAGTGAAACTTTAGAAGTGTTTGATTTCGCTTCAACTTTTGAAACATAAAACTTCTAAAATTCGGGCCTAACATAGTCGCACTCTTTAGGCTTTTCATTTTTTTGGGTTTGAGGTAATCGTGGTTCTCATTTATGAAAATTTTGGACTAATTGCAAGTTTGAGGAGGTTCAACTCGCATTGATTGGGTCAAATTAGGTTGGATACGCATGGATTTGGGTTCAATTGTCTTTATCAAACAAAAGAAAAAAGCGAAATAAAAAACGCTAAAGTTAAAACTTGCTACCTACTCAAAACTCGTAAACACCAGGTTCAACTCGCTTTGACCTAGTTGAACCAAGTTTTGGGTTGTATACCTGACAAACTCGACAATTACAAAAACAGATAAAATTCGCTCCCGCCAAAAACCTGTAAAACCGGGTTCAAGTCGCTTTGGTATGTTCGAATTAGGTTATATACCCATCTGTTTGGACTCAATTGTCATTCTTGACCAAAAGAAAAAAGATAAAAAACATACTTAAGCGGATAAAACTAGTTCTCGATACGAAACGCGTCAAAAATTGGTCCGAGTTCAATTGTCATTTTCAACGAAAAGGAAAATGAGAAATAAAATAAAAAAACATTAAAGCATACAAAACTCGCTTTCCATCTAAAACTTTTCAACAACGTGTTCAACTAGTTTTGAATAATTTTTTAACAAATTATCATTTGGTCTAACCTGCCAACTACAAAAGCGAATAAAACTCGCTCACAATACAACACTCGTCAATACTTTAAATTCAGGTTCAATTGTCTTCCCAGCCAAAGGAAATATAGAGAAATTAATAAATGCTAAAGTCGGTTTCAAATCGCTTTGACCGGATCGAATTAGGTTGGATACCCATGGAGTTGTGTTCAATTGTGATCATACTCAACAAAAAGGAAAATGTGAAAGAAAAAACACTAAAGTGGACGAAACTCGGCCCCGATACAAAACTCGCCAACATTGAGTAGATATGGTATGAATTTTCGGTAGCGGTAATGAGAAATGGTGGAGGGGGACAATTTAGGATTCTGTTGATAGTGTTTTGAGAAGGTTGTGAATTAGTGAGCGATGTTGAGGATTGGCCTAAGCATATCTAGTATAGATCTTTGGTCGCGGCCATGGCAAATGGTGGAAGAGAACAACTCATGATTCCACCGACAGTGTTTCGAGTTGGGTTGCGAAATGATGCGAAAAGTGGATAGTTGTTGTAATAGGGAGCTGAAAACCTAGTAGGAAATAATTGTTATAGGAAACACAATGGACAATAGATGTAAACCTAGCGAACATCCATGTGTTTGGGTTCAAGTTAGGATACCCATGTGTTTTGGTTCGATTGTGATAATACTCAACAAAAAGGAAAAAGAGAAAGAAAAAAACACTAAAGATGATGAAACTCGGTCCCGATACAAAACTCGTGGTAGCGGCCTTGGGAAACGGTTGTGGGGAACTACTTAGGATTCTGCTGACAGTATTTCGAGATGGGCTGCAAAATCATATGCAAAGGCGATGATTTGTGTTCGCGTGAGGATACCCATGTGTTTGGGTTCAATTGTGATCATGATCAACAAAAAGGAAAAAGAAAAAGAAAAAAAAATACTAAAGAGGATGAAAGTCGGTTCCGATACAAAACTCGTGGTAGCGGCATTGGGAAACGGTGGTGGGGAACAACTTAGGATTTCGCCGACAGTATTTCGAGATGGGCTGCAAAATGATGGGCAAGGCGATGATTTGTGTTCAAGTTAGGATCTCCATGTGTTTGGGTTCAATTGTGATCATGCTCAACAAAAAGGAAAAAGAAAAAGAAAAAGAAAAAGAAAAAACGCTAAAGAGGATGAAACTCTGTCTCGATACAAAACTTGTGGTAGCGGCATTGCGAAAGGGTGGTGGGGAACAATTTAGGATTCCGCCGACAGTATTTCGAGATGGACTACAAAATGGTTGGCAAAGGCATGGCATGGCATCAAAT